CGTGTCGATTTGCTGTAACAACCGCTTCCTGTCGTCACTCTCCGTCCACGCCTTTGCGAACTCGTCCGGAGTCCTCGGGACGCGAGACTCAAAGCCGGGACGCGCTTGCCTCTCAGCGGGGTTGGTAAGCGACGTCAGGAAATCAGCGGTGGTCTGACGCGGCGGGCAGTCGAAGCCCATATCGATGAAGAACTTCTTCGCGTCGGTGGTTGTCCCGAAGTAGATCTGACGACCTTCATAGAGCACCACGACCTTGTCGAAAATCTACAAAAGGAGAAAGGAGATCAGCGAGAGCGAGAGAAGAGGAGGGGAAGAGTAAACTCACGTCGTATATATCCTGGGATGCCTGGTAGATTGCGACAACCGCCGTTGCACCCTGGTACTTGGTGGACAAACGGACAGTCTTGACGAACTCGAGGCAGTGGCACTGTCCAATCCACGCGTCGAGTTGTCCCAGCATTGCAGGGGACTGCCGCTTAGGGCGACCTCAGCAATACTGACACGCTTCCTCTCGCCACCACTGACACCGCGGACGAAATCGTTTCCGACTTTGGTGTGAATCGTGTGGGACAAACCGAAAACGGCCATGACGACGTCGCGCATGTGGTCCGCCCACATCTCGCGTGTAACACCCGGGAGGCGCGCGCGTGGCGTCCGTGCTCGCGCAGCAAAGGAGAGGGTCTGGCCGACGGTCAAGTTGGGGAAATGCACGTCCGTTTCGGCATTGTAGACAACTTCGCCACGGAAATCCTTGTGCATCGTTTTCCAGGGAATACCCTGGTAGTTGATTTCGGCATTTTCCTGGACGTAGAAGCCGTGGGTTTCACCAGCAATGGATTTGAGGAGGGTGGTGCATCCACTGCAGGAATACGGTGAGTATGCGTTCGGAGAGAATGAAAGGAAACTTGCCTTCCAGGACGTCCCAGGACGACGAGCATCTCACCGGCATTCACGAGACCTTCGAAGTTGCGCAAAATGTCGATCCTCCGGCCTCTTCCACCCGATCCACCGAAAACGCCGCCGACAAGATCGTAAACCATGCGTGGCAGATCCAACAGCACGCCACCAACAGTGCGCTGATGGTCCGTCGGCTTTCCATACCCGTATACATTTAGGTTGCGATAGCTAATACCTGCTGTACGTCCCGGGGCTTCTCCATCTCCCGCATGCAGCACGTTCAAAGACAACACAGTCCGAATCCAGAGATGGTAGTCAAATTTCCCGGACATGGGGTCCATCCGCGGGTCCGCAGAGCCCTCGAACGGGTTGTCGCCCTCACCCAGGCGGGCGTTCGGCAGCGACGCATTGGTCACCGTGCGCGCGAGCTGCAATACTTCGTGCTCCATGACGGGGTCATCGTACGCTGTCGCTTCTGAGGGTGCCTTCTCTGACGGTGCCTTCTCGTGCTCACTCGGTGGCGCGTGCTTGTTGGGTTCCTCCGTAGTGTAATCCATCGCGACCGAATACGGCGGACGATGTCGAGAAAACCCGTGAGGGGGCAACGAAAGGTAAAGAGAGTGGGGAGAACTGTGAAAGTACAGATGGGTCGATAGTTGGCGATGGCATTTTCTACCTCCCTTAACGCAAGGTTGGCCCGGTGAGTCAACTCGAATTACGACGTTTACGCCGTATGCCGTGGTGCCGGCCACTCATTTCGCTGACACGCCGGGACTTGGCCTCCGGATATACTCGTGCTGTCTCTACTTGGTCTCTACTTGTTGATGCTTGCGACTCGGATTGGGCTGTGGGTTACACTGATATCAATCAACTAGAATCTGGATACCATCCCCGGCTGATGATGACTCGGAAATCCAACGGAAATCTGCACTTCAGGCTTGTTATTTAACGTGGGCAACGGGGCGCGCAAACTTGGCGCCAAAACTAGTCTCAGTTGAACAATGAAACCGCTCTGATTATCATTTGCTAATTACACGCTGTTTCGACAGCCTTCAACGGCCACGGGCCACGGCCCCCGCGTACGAGTCAACATTCGCCTCCGTCCTATACTTGGTCTTGGCATCGTCGTCACTGGCTTTTCAGCTTACTGATCCTCAAGATATTTCGATACCATCGGATTCGGAGGGAGTGAAATTCGTGGTGTGTCGTAATGAAATACTATCCAGTCCAAAACGTGGCGCCCCTGTGCCTTGGAATGATCTCTCGGAACTATCTTAGTCTAGAGAAGAGGCTTGTTTCGTTTGCCCTTTCCAGCGCCTCTCAATTGGCATCAAGCTCAAGCTGTTTTGCGGATAGAAGCGCGCGCTTACCGTCGCCCACCCACTTAGACTAACGCTCGATATGCATAGTACTACATATCCCGATATCGGAGAATGAGGTTAGCTCTTGTGCGAACGAGTCGGCTTAAGTATTCGTTAGGTATTGATTTGGGATTGATCATGCAGCTCTAGCATCGTTTATTGTTTACCTCTTTACAATAACTTCAACAAGCATCAGCGCCACACCTCGTGAAAAGGCACCTTGACAGGGTCTATCGAAGGTGGCGCTAGGTGGCGCCGGGGCACCACATGGAGTCGGAAATAGAGAAAGATGCGAGCAGCATTATCGTATGCGCGCGACATACAACGCGCCCGCGGTGCGTCTGGATTGCCAAGTCGTGTTGACCTTAAGTTTAAGAGACGCAGGCCTGATTGCACGCCAGAGTGTAGCAGAGCGGAGATTGAAAGCTGAAGGTTCGCTGCAACAAAATTAGTCTCGAAACCCGACTGAGTGATGTATGAAGACAGTTCCTACCACATCAAATATGAATTCAAATTCCAAGTAGAGAACGCCGCGAGCTGCCGGCATCGCCGAGTATGAGTCATCAGAGGTGCACCTCCGGCATTCCGGGCCGAGATCCGAACGGACGCATGGGGGTTTCTCTGTCTTCTCCATCATCACTACGACCACTGACGCAGCACCGTCGCTCGACTTCACGTCAGAGACAACAACACCGGCACTCGACTTTGAGTCGGCGTTGATGGACGTGGAGACGATGATGAGATAACGAGGATGGCGCGAGGATCAGGAGGAGAAGGTGGAGGAGGAGGAGGAGGAGAGGCACGCGTTGAGGATGACGCGACGAGGACGAGGACGCGTCGACAAGGACGACAACCTGGCGGCGAGGGCGAGGATGAGGATGATCTGAGGACAAGGACAACACGGCGACGCAGCCACCACCACTACCACACCACTTCACTACCCCCCTATATAATCCCCCCTCCCCTACCCACTACTCTTTCGTCGCTGGTATGCGGTTCGCTCTTTTGAGCTTTCCGCACCGCGCCGAAAACAGCTAGCCAACGGCGGGTTCGGGGCGGGAGTGCTTACGAGCGACCCGTGCTAAGATCTCAGACCTCAGACCCCTTTCTTTCTTGCCTCTTGCACTCATTCCACCTACATTGTTTCTCTCTCCTGTTCACTAAGCGCAGTGTTGTGCAGTGTGCTTACGCTTAGGCTTGCCGTTCTTCGTGTTCATTAGTCTTTTCCACCCACTCTCATTACTGGGTTCCCCGCGACGATGTCTCACAGCCAAAAACTATTGACAGTTCCACTGGAGTTGTCTAAATTCATCATCTTCGGCGCAGACACACCCGTCTCGACGAGCGACGCTCTGCGATGGACCGCGCTTGGTTCCAAAATCAATACGCTGCTCACAAGAAACGGTCTCGTCTTTGTAAGTTCAAGAGGCTCTCATTAAGACAGTCAACTAATGCGACGAGTAGTGGAAGATGGCACCGACGAAATACTATATACTTTTCACTGAAGAAAACGTTGCGTGCCCGATTTATGGGTGTTTCGGAGATATAGAAGGAGAGTACTACGTCCCCGTTAAAGACATCGAGGCCCATATGGGGCGCGCCCATCCCGAATACCAAAAGCTGAGTGGCAGGTGGAGTGAGTTATAGATTGATGTGTATTCTAAAGCTGACATTAAGTCAGAACAATTCGCAAAGGAATTCAAGACAGAGGACGACATTTCGTCCTGGCAGAGCTTTGCCAAATGGAAGTATCCCCTCTGGTGGGAGGTCATCGCGATACCCGTCCCATCGATTCCATACACCAAGCAGCGCGCCTGGATTCGAAAGCAATCTGCCGCTGCCATCAAGAGAGTCGGTGACTCGGACGGTAGGCTTACCAAAGTAGCGCAAACTACGAAACCGCAACCCGCCTTACTTCCGGACTATGACGAGTCAGTCAACTATATATTTTTCTTTATTGCATTGGTCAAAGATGAGGTGAGTGCTTTCGGTGATTAATGTCACGCATGTAGTTCACACTCCTTTTAGTATCTTCGGGATTCCTACATCGAAGAGTGGGAGAAAGGTGACGAAGTCAAGGACGAAGTTGACGATGAAGAGCAGGACATCTTGGATTCATCGCAAGCATCGGGTGACGCGGCGACTCAAGAAGGCGGGATGGATGATTCACCGGTTCGGCAGGACATCCCCCCCTTTGGAATGATTCTCCGCCAAAGGCGGTCACGTCCATCTGATGATGAAGAGGATGAGGACCTCAGGGCGCGACGGACAAGCAGGGTGGTGAGGAGGAAGGTCGTTCCAGATGAGAGCGTCGATGCCGAAGAGGACAACCCTCAAACGGAATCGCGTATTGTTGGCGGGGAAAGTCTGAGCGCCTCGTCTCAGGCTCCGCCTACAGCGCTCGACTGGCGGAGGTCTGAAACTTTGACTTCGGGTGAAGAGGGGGACGAGCTTTCGCTGTGAAAGAGGACCACTCTACTTTGAGTCCGTTATGTTCCAAGCTGCGCATGCTATTAAGCCTTTCGTCATATTATCCGTCCACCAGAACCACCCGTATTCTTCTCCTCCTTTCCAGCATCCTTCTGTCATGAAAACGTCTGCTGTCTGTACGCCTCCTTTGGGCAAGTTTGCCTTTACAAAGTCTCTTCTTCAAAGCTCCGACAAAAAGTCAAATGGCGATACTAGATACATAGTAACAATATGGGCGGTGTACCCTTGGGCCTTTTACTTACAGTTAGTCTAGAAAACTATGTGGCTATTTGAACCTGCGCCCTCAAAGAGGAACAGATAAACAGCTATACAATGGGTTGTCAATTCTAATCTGTTGCCGTAACCACTTGGCTATAGCGCCGTACTCTTGAGATATGTGACTGTGTGGCGTCCCACGGGCATGGGTATTTATCGTTGAAATAGCTTCAGGGAGCACCCTTTGTTGTGTCCACACATGGGGCAAGTTGTATGAGAGTTTTCGCTCGCATTTACTATGATTTAGTATGCGACACGTAGATTCCGTTGGCCACGCCGTCAAGCAGACCAAATTGAGACTGCTGATCGGCGATCGGCGCTCATTCCACATTACATTGTTTATTTCTCCTCTGGTGCGAGGTTCCCCCCGCCGCGGGAGCAGTGTACAATGCGGGACAGAGGTCAGCTCGCAATTATCTGCTGAAACGTCACGGTCTGCTTTCTCTATGCCTCCTGTTGGCAAGGTTCTTGACTTGTCAAATATCTCAGATTGGACCTCGCCTATTCAATCCTTGGTGTCTTCTGATGTTTCCGAATCATTCTTTCTAGTACCACATCCACTGTTCCCTCTAACCGCGTCTCATTTTTCCTGCTTCAACTCGTCGTCCATCCGCGAGACAAGTCTAGCATTGCCGCCTAGACCCATGACTACGTGTGAGACCTGTAGTACTATACAAATGTCCTCCAGCTGCCCGTCCTCGAACCTTTAGCTCCCTTCCCATTCATCCTCGTTGTCATGGCTTGCCAGCGTTGCGATCCCTTACTGTACTAACGGGACCAACTCTTCATGCCATGTTACGCGTTACGGTCGGTCTTCACTGGGGTAAGTCTTCACATCAAGGCACAGGAGCGGGAATTACCTTATTGGGAGTGGCGGCGTTAGCCGCCGCGCCAAAAATTGCCTATTTAAGCCTTCATATCAGACATTTAGCCTCTGTTACACGTTATGCAAGACCGAAAGTCTTCACTCACGCGGCCCCGTTACACGTTATGTGAAGACACGGTCCCGTTAGTACAGTATCTCCTCCTATTGGCAAGCTTAAGGTCAACCTTAAGGACAAGTTCTTTTACTGGGACACCAATGATTACCTCTCGTTCTACATAAGCGACGATGCAGGTGGTCTTATAATGAGCCGTGGTTACCACGTAAACAAGCCTCTAAGGGAAGTACCCGAGTGTTACCTGTGCTACAATGCAATGATGTCGCCCTACGTGAGCATCACCGACCAATCCATCTCCCACAAATGCAATTGATCCACCACCTAGGCATGGCTACTGCAACCCGCCAGAGACTACCTCTCTGGCCTGCGCCGACTCGAAGAGAAACTAGGAATCGCGCGCAAAGCAATCCCTGTTTATGGAGCTGCTACATATGAGCCGTGGTACGTAGGCGATGATTCAGGCGCCCATTTCATAGAGTTTGGCCGCTACGAGGGAGAGATGCTAAGGGACATCCCGCTCGAATATCTTCTTTGGACTCGTGGATTTCTCATATGACTGTTATAGCTCTAAAGTGTGTGGCCTGCCTGTCAACTGACTGAACACTCACTCGGCGCGTTTAGAAGGGGCAGAAGCACCTGTCCGCGCTGGACACCTACATTTCTGGCCTGGAAAGCTATTTGAAGAGCTTGGCGGAAAATCAGCCTTTCCTCACCTTGGAAATTACCAACCGAGACGGTTCAAAGCTGAGGGATGTGTGCTATGTCGCGTCTGGATACACTGGTCAGTGCCGGCTCGGAGGTCATTACAGCGTATACACACATTTGACACGTCAATGGCAGGTCCTACGTCCAGAGGACAAATCAACTTCACATATGAGCAGCTGAAGAACGCTCAGGAAAGCCGTCCACGATAGTTTCCGCCCTTACAAAGACTCTCTTCGCAAACATCAATGCTCTGGAGGAAAGTCAACTTATGGCGGCTTTGACGGTGGGCGATGTTTGAATGCACCCTGTATAGTTAGTCTTTCTTTTTTGTGTATCACTATGTCGTTTGTAGCGTCCTCGAATGCAATTAATGTTGGAGCTTGTTGTTCACATGGGGCTTGGATGCCACCTGCCCTCCGCCAAGTCTTGAGGCAAATCAGTCATGGCGTGTCATGGCGCGTTTTGTTGTTGAAGTCCGTCTGTTGGATGTGACGGAAAGCGTGATTGTTTTGTCAGCATTCCCTTCTCTCTTCTTACCTGACGCGTTAACGTTTCCTTCGCCAGTTTCCCCGACATCGCGGACCGCTGGACGTGATACGGCCGCTGTTTACTCTCGCTGTTTCCCGGTATTTCCCCTTTTGCTCTTAGTCTGACTCGCATGTATAAGTACTAGCTGTCGTGTTGTAGGACAAGCTGGAATTCGAGTGACTACCCAGTTCTTACGTGTTCTACTCGGCTTCACTTGCTTTCCCTCTCGGTAATCTCACGCTTGCCGACTCTGTGTGGTAGGAGCACGTCGACGTGACGTGCATTCCCCACACTGGATCACTGCGCATTAAAATGGGTCTCTTACCTTGCGAGCTCTATCTAAGTACTCCGTTTGGTATGTTTGACTCACCCAATTTATTCTTTGACTCATTCCACCTTACGTCCCGGAAGCTTAAAGTGTCCAAAATGATGGATACCACGGGCTGCGAGACGCGAGTCCATCGTAATACTCGGTATCACCGAGTTTGAGTCATAATGCCCACATAAAACCTGGACCTGCATATAAGTATGTGCCTCGACTGCACAACCTGATCCTGTAGCAATCTATAGGGTGTCAAATTGCGCGCGCGCAATTTCAGTCCAGAGTAAAATATAAACAATATGAGATTTAGATTGTTCTGGATGCAGCCGCAGGTGTAGGAGTAAAGCTGGACGTGGGGTATCTGTGGGCGGGAATTATACATTCATCGTAGTCATATGTGTTTTTTGTTTTCCTGTTGGAGGCATCATCTTACATCAGTTGCATGAAAATGATGATGAATGACGACCTTGAAGCAAGGAGAGGGTAAACAACAGTTCCATAATTGAGGACAGCAGATGAAATCACACTCTGTACCTTTGCATACCCCGCAAGTTCGCGTGGCCGCCACGGCTCTTTCAGCTTTCCACTCTCCTCTCGCTCTTCCCAGCTTTCACCACCGCACTTCCCGTACTCGGTCTATTAAACGAATCGAAGAAGGACACCTCCGCGCCGTCGTACGAGTTACCGAATGCGTGCTCCCCAGTTGTCAAGCATGAAACAGCCTTCACCGCGCTGCATATGTCATATGCTATCAGAACGCGGGACGTGCTAGTTCCCATTCGGCGGACTATCCTTCTGAGAGGATTTGAAAAGGACTTGCCCTGCGGATATGACCCGCATCTGCCCATACACCGTGAGGTCGTCTTCCAGCTGGTTAAGCTCCAGCGGGGCAGCAAGTGACAAATCCACAACCCGCCGCGCACCACTCCTCATCACATGATGGAACCGGTCGAGGTTCTCTATCCCCTCAATACACACGATCTGCGCCCAACAATGTCAGCGCGCACCTGGAATATCTGGTGGAACCGTGATGCATCGCCGCTTTGATAACGGCACATCTCCATGAACGAAAGATCTGGAGCATGCAGGAAGATAAACGTACTGTCGTAGTGCCATTCGGTGCCCGGTTGAAATATGCAACATCAGAAGTGTGGAGCAGTAGACGCGTGTCAGCATCGAAGCGAATCACGTCGAATATGACGGGAGTCGGCACATGAGCGGCAGAGGTAGCGAGACCAGCGACAGCTGCCCCATAATTGTGCGTGGGGTGCATCCTTGACGACACCTACATGAAAAGCAAATATGTCTAGCACCATAGACACAAGACGCACATAATCATCCGTGCCCTGGCTGGCCGTTCGTTGACCTTTGTTGGCATTGTGGTTGTTATTGGCGTCGTCGTCGTGTTGTTGGTGTTGCCATGTTGTCGGCGGCAAAGTTGTTGTCATGTTGTCATCGGCGCGTTCGTTGTCCTGAGCTCAACACCATTCTCGACAATGACTACGTAAAGGAGCGAACGATTGAAGCAAGCGCGGGCGACACACCATGGAAAACGGCCTGTAACGCCATGCAGCCCGAATTCCTACATGCAGCCACGTTGAAGGCTGGTAAATCGGCACCGTCGTCCAGAAGTGTTGCTGCTCGACGTCGGAGGCTTACGCGTCCCCGCCGTCAGTCAAACAAGAAGACGTGGCGAGAGGTGCGCTATGAACGTGCAGCCTCCGTGGAGCGTACGCTGCCCCGCATCGTTGCTGTCAACCTCTGAAAGTGGAGGAAGAAAATGCTGCCTGACTTACGTGGCCGATTGACGTTGCCTGGCGACGGGAACAATGTTGGGATTGTTGCTTCAAGCCCGTGTGATAGACAGAGCAGCCTCAATATGAGGGCTTATGTGGGCGTCGTAGTGGTCAGAGCAAGACTTACAAAAAGAGAACTGACCATAGATACGATGCTGTTTGCTGATGCGGCCGTAGATGTCCCGAGGATCAATCTATGAAGTAAAGAGTCGAATTCGATGTAGAAAACAGAGACGACTTACGGTATCCATAATTCTTTTGGCTCAGAATGAACGACTAGCGAGGAACGACAATTTGAAGCGGTAGGAAGTCAATAGGAAGTTTAAATTTTACTACGGAATTGAGATAAGATTAACGGAAAGATAAGATAAAAGATCAAGCTTTCGGGGCGAGAAAAGTCAGGTAAAGGCCAGAGTTCTATAAATAGACACTCGCTTCGCTCGTGCCTATTTATATTTTACTCTGGAACTTCCTCACGCGCGCGCATCATCATGGCTTGCCACCGATGCGATCCTTTATTTCCTCCCATTGTCAAGCTTGACAAGGATCTTCTATATTCAAACAACAATGCCCTCTCGTTCTACACGAGCCGGGACGCAGGCGGCTTTGGAATGAAAGGTGGATTTCACAGTAACAAATTTCTCAGGGATATCCCGGAGTGCTATCTTTGCTTCAACGAGATGATCAAGAAATATGTGAGTACTCTTGATCCAGCCTTCTTTCTCTATACCTACTCTATATAGCCATCGCTTGTGGAACCCGCGCGAGCCTACCTCGCGGGCCTGCGCAAGCTTGAAGAGAACCTCGGTATCGC